TTCTATTCCCAATAAAGATTCCCTTCTATTCCCAATAAAGATTCCCTTCTATTCCCAATAAAGATTCCGTTCTATTCCCAATAAAGATTCCGTTCTATTCCCAATAAAGATTCCGTTCTATTCCCAATAAAGATTCTGTTCTATTCCCAATAAAGATTCTGTTCTATTCCCAATAAAGATTCTGTTCTATTCCCAATAAAGATTCTGTTCTATTCCCAATAAAGATTCTATCCTATTACCAATAAAGATTCTATTCTGTTCCCAATAAAGATTCTATTCTCAAGATTCTTTTCTGTTCTATTCTTTTTTTTTTTTTCAAAAGGCAACTTGACTTTCTTGACTTTTCCTTTGAAAACTCCCATCCGAGGCACTTGAGTTAAAACCGAAGAAACTTCTTGGATGAGAAGAAACATTTTCAAAGAAGAAGAAAAAAAGAAGGGAATGGCCTCTTCAAGAAAAGCCCCTTTGGGGGTGATATTGTGTTGGTCTTATCTGCGAAGTCGATTAACCGACCGGTTTTCCTTTCTTTTTTCCCACGGAGGCCAAAATAGCCCTGTCCCTCCCCCATCAGGCTCTCGATTCCTGCTTTCCTCCTCGGCTTCTTACCTTGACCTAATTCCCTCTAGAGCAGAGATAATGTCGCCTTAATCCTTGGATTAAGCCCCGTCATAAGCATAAATAAATATGAAAGCCTTAACACCCTCTGAGCAGGTTGTCATACAGTTCTGGTAACGGTCTCTTCAAGAGGGGAGAGTTTTACCTCAGTTGGGGGACAGGTGGTCCTCGACTTATGATGGCAGTTGAGCCCCAGATTTACACCGCTAAGTGAGACATCTGTCAAGTACTGCCCACTTTTTACGACCTTCTGTCCTCACAGTTTTTAACGGAATGATTGTAATTAAATTCATCACACCATCGTTCAGGGAATCCGGCTTCTCCCGTTGCTTGTCGGAAGGTCGCAAAAACGAATCACATCACACACGCACACACACACACTCACTCACAGCAATCATCGTAAGTACAAGTCAGCATCTGAATTTTGATCCCACAACCATGGGGATGCTGCAGCGGTAAGCATGCAAAATAGCTGTGGGTCCTTTTTTTTTCTTCAGGGCCGGTGTAACTACGAACAGTCGCTAAATGAACGCTCGTAAGTCGAGGGTTCCCTGCGTTGAACGTCAACCGCGGGCTTGGTTTTGAAGGGCGTCCGATCGCACAGGGTATTCTTCCCTTCCTTGGCACGTCATTTGGAATTGAACTGAACTGAACCTTGGAGGTCTTCTAGTCCAGCCTCCTGCTCAGTCAGGAGAACCGATCCCATTTTAGACATGCGACTGTCTAGGCTCTTCTTAAAAGCCTCCAGTGGTGAAGCACCCATAACTTCTAGAGGCAAGCTGTTCCATTGGTTAATTGTCCTCACTGTTAGGAAGTTTCTCCTTCGTTCCAGGTTGCTTCTCTCCTGGGTTAGTTTCCATCCGTTGTTTCTTGCCTTCTCTTCTGGTGCTTTGGAAAATAGATGGATCCCTTCCTCTCTGGGGCAGCCCCTCAAATACTGAAAGACTGCTGTAGAGTAGAGTAGAAAATGGAATGGAATGGAATGGAAGAATGGAATGGAATGGAATGGAATGGAATAGAATAGAATAGAATAGAATAGAATAGAATAGAATAGAAATTATGGAATGGAATGGAAGAATGGAATGGAATAGAATAGAATAAGAATAGAATAAGAATAGAATAGAATAGAATAGAATAGAATAGAATAGAATAGAATAGCTTTATTGGCCAAGTGTGATTGGACACACAAGGAATTTGTCTTGGTGCAAATGCTCTCAGTGTACATAAAAGAAAAGATACATTTGTCAAGAGTCAAGAATGATCGGGTACAACACTTAATAATAATAATATGGTACAATAGAGTAGGATAGGATAGGATAGGATAGGATAGGATAGGATAGGATAGGATAGGATAGGATAGAATTCTTTATTGGCCAAGTGTGAATGGACACACAAGGAATTTGTCTTGGTGCAAATACTCTCAGTGTACATAAAAGAAAAGATACATTTGTCAAGAGTCAAGAATCATCAGGTACAACACTTAGTGATAGTCATAGGGTAGAATAGAATAGAACAGAACAGAACAGAACAGAACAACAGAACAGAACAGAACAGAACAGAACAGAACAGAACAGAATAGAATAGAATAGAATAGAATAGAATAGAACAGAATAGAATAGAATAGCTTTATTGGCCAAGTGTGAATGGACACAAGGAATTTGTCTTGGTGAAAATACTCTCAGAGTACATAAAAAGAGAAGATACATTTGTTAAGAGTCAAGAATCATCAAGTACAACACTTAATAATAGCCATAAGCAATCAAGTCATACTAGGAAACAGTCAATATAAATCGTATGGATACAACCAACAAAGTTACCATTATACAGTCCCAAGTGGGAGGGGATGGGTGATAAGGAGTGATGAGAAGATTAATAGTAATAGTGCAGACTTTGTAAATAGTTCGACAGTGTTGTGAGAGTTAGTTGTGATGGCATTCAGGGGAAAACTGTCCTTGTGTCTAGTTGTTCTGGTGTGCAGTGCTCTATAGCGTCGTTTTGAGGGAAGGAGTTGAAACAGTTTATGTCCGGGATGTGAGGGGTCCGTAAATATTTTCACGGCCCTCTTTTTGACTCGTGCAGGATACAGGTCCTCCTCCATGGAAGGCAGGTTGGTAGTAATTGTTTTTTTTTCTGCAGTCCTGATTCCTCTCTGGAGTCTGTGTCTGTCTTGTTGGGTTGCAGAACCAATCGTGTCACCCTTAATTCTTCTTTTCTCTAGACTAGCCCAACCCAAATCCTGCAACCTTTTTTCATGTGTTTTATCCTCCAGGCCTTTAATCGTCCTAGTTGCTTTCCTCTGAATTTTTTCCCAAAGTCTCAATGTCTCTTTTGTAGAACGGTGACCAAAATGGCTTGTAGTACTCCAGGGGTTGCCTTACGAGGGTTTTATAAAGCAGGACTGATACTTCACCTGATCTTGATTCTACAACCGTTTATACAACCCAGGATTATTATGATCTTCCGTTTATACAACCCAGGATTATTATGATCTTTTTCGTGGGGTGTCCTGATTTACTGTCCCACCAGGTCATGCACGCCCACTCTCAGTTCTGCATGAGCGGAGATCACACCCTGGAAGGAACCGAGCACGCCATTCGGGAGATCGGCAAAGACGACGCCGACGAATATTTCGTCATCGTCTTAAGCGACGCCAACCTGGAGCGGTACGGCATTCCGCCCGCAAGGTTCGCGCAGGCCTTGACGATCGACCCCAAAGTCAACGCTTTCGCCATATTCATTGGCTCCTTGGGGGATCAAGCCGACAGGTAAGCTGGAGAGACCCCCGAAGCTGGCGAGGAACCGACGGGTGGCTGGTGGGATATTTTAGACAAATCTACACAAATCCCATTTGTCAGGTTTCCAAGTGATGAAATTCATTCAAAAAGAAAAAAAGCAAAGTCCAAATCCATAATAATTTCTTTTATTTAGAATAGCGTCAAATTGGCAAAGCCTGTTGTAATTCTGGATCCGACACAACCCGGAATTACACCACACAATATTGGAAATTAGAAACAGACCCCAAAAGTCACATTCCCCAATAGAAGTAAATCAACGTTGCCCGGTGTCATCAATCTCCACCTCCAGGTCTCAGCAGGGTCAGCTTTCGTTCCCACGGGAAGGAGAACCACTTAGCCTAAACAACTCTCTCTATCTCCACTCCTCCCACCTTAGGAATGTGGCAAGCCCCCCCCTCCCCCCCCATAACCAGCAAAGAGAAAGAAAAGGAATATATAATAAGGGTAAATAAAATGGCTACGCATATGTCAACATCGGGCTTGACACCATTCCTGAGAGCCAATATCTACGTAGAATAGGATGAGCTGGGGAGATGCCAGTGTCTTGTTCCTCTCCCAGGTGTACAGGTGTTAAATGTGGAACTAGGAACTAGGTGTTTCTAGACGAATGAAGAGAAGGATAAGTGGTGATAACGATAGCAGCTTTCTAGTAACTAAGAGGATTAAAATGACTAAAACATACGAAAAATGGTTGCAGGATTTGGGTTTGGCTAGTCTAGAGAAAAGAAGGACTGGCGGGGGGACACGATAGCAGTGTTTCAATATCTCAGGGGCTGCCACAAAAAGAAGGGGGTCAAATTATTTTCCAAAGCACCGGAAGGCAGGACAAGAAACGATGGATGGAAACTAATCAAGGAGAGAAGCAACCTGGAATTAAGGAGTAACTTCCTAACAGTGAGGACAATTAACCAGTGGAACTGCTTGTCTCCAGAAGTTGTGGGTGCTTCATCACTGGAGGTTTTTAAGAAGAGACTTTTAAGAAGAGCCACTTGTCTGAAATGGTATAGG